AAATAAATGCTCATTTGAAATGGTCATTAAATTCATTTCAACAACTTTGAATTAAAATAAAGATTTAAAGGGATACTTCACCCCCTAACAAAGAAAACTGCCATCATTTACTCACCCTCATGCCTTTCCAAACATGTTTGACTTTATTTCATCTAAAACAAGATTTGAAATATTTTTTTAAAAACATTTCAACGTTTTTTATCTATAGAACAAAAGTCAACAGGGTCCAAAATTGTTGGATGAACTATCCCTTCAACATAATTCATCTCACCTCAACTAAACTCATTTAAACTCATCTCATTCATTTCCATTCAGTTGTTAAAGGCTACTATTAACTGTTAAAGTGTGTCACTGTTCGCATGTCATTTGACTGAAATGTGTCTGAATGAGACTGTCATGATTAGCGCAGCGATGCTGTCATTCTCTATTGAAGCGGCTGATGAATGATGACACACCGCAGCCGTGGCGGATTGAGCTTGTGTCTAAAACAGGCCTAAAGTGACGGATAAGATGAGGTGGGATGTGTGAAATCAGGGGTCCTAATGCCAGCTGTCCACTGAGGAGCCCAAATATAAAGCTGGCCTTCATTAAACAGGATGACGGAAGTGACAGAAGAGAAACAGAGTTTACAGTCAGATGGACGCAAAAAAACATGACACACAGAAGAAGGACTATGAAACGATTGGACTATGAAATGGACGATTATGTTGAAGACCCAGTCATTTGAGTATCACGTGTTTACTCCAGAGAAGAAGACCTCAGTCTTTCTCACATGTGTCTACTCCAGAGCTTCAAAGGAAATCTCAACCCTATCAAGACCACGGTATGCAATCAAACGTCAGATAGCTCAATATGATCTCAAACATGAACTTAAACTCAGTTAAGTCTCAAGAACTACAAGCTCTGAGCAATAACTTTGCAATTCCTTAAAATGTTTTAGTAATGGTAATGGAAAAAACAACAACAAATAAATTCTACAGTAAAACATTTGAATAGGTTAATTATAGTTACTTTACTATGGGGAAAACATATATACAAAATATTGTAAATTTATATACACATCTCTTGGTACTAAAAGGCATGAAACACCTTCTAATTTACATATAATAATATTCATGTAAAAATATATAAAATATAATAATATCATATAAATATAAATAAATACAAATATAAAAATAAAAATAATATATATATATATATATATAATACAAAATGTAAACATATACTACTACTACTACTAATAATAATGTTTTTATTTGTGAAAAAATAAATAAATAAAAAAGCATGAGTGACCTTTTAATTTAGAGTGGAAAAACAAACTATGCTTCCATACAACGTACAAAATTGCACCCCTCACATTTTAAATTACTCTTACTGTCATTTCAGATAAAAATACTCCCTAAAATGCCTTTATTAGAGTTTTAACTCGTTCTCTCTCTCCACAACAATCATATAATCAAATAATGCATCACTACAGTAAAGTTGAGGAGCTCACGGTAATGGAAAGTTTTGCTGTGTGATGAGTGAATGACTCATGTAAGCGCACACGGATGGCTGCTGAAGGGCTCTCCACATGCAGAAGCACAGCTGGATGAGGGCAGTATGATATTGTCCTAAAGCAGGGAGCTGAGACTGTGAGCTCATTTAGACGTGTGTTCATTCTGCCACAGGTGCTAGCGGCACATATGAACACTACTCACATCGAGGAGAAGTTTAGAAAAGTTTCTGAAACCACATGAAAGCTTAGTGTGACGAACAGACCGAAACTTCAGTCAGTACTCGCTGACTGAAGTTCCCCTCCACCAAATAGTCTTAAAGGAACACTCCACTATTTTTGAAAATAGGCTCATTTTCCAACTCCCCCAGAGTTAAACAGTTGAGTTTTACCGTTTTCGAATCCATTCAGCCGATCTCCGGGTCTGGCGGTAGCTGCGTAATATCATTGCGCCTGCTGCACTCATGGTACGGCTGCAAAGTTCCTTGATTATTACGCCGGAATGAGAGTATAGTTCCTAGCCATATCAGCCTAGAAAATCGCAACTTTTCATTTTCCGTCGGTCTTAGTACACGATGTAACTACAGAAGAGTCAAGTTTTAAATAGGAAAAATATAGAAACTCTTTGGTCATTTTTGAGCGAGATGCTAACGGTCTAATCAGATTCAATGATCTATGCTAAGCTAAGCTAAAAGTGCTACCGCCAGACCCGGAGATCGGCTGAATGGATTCGAAAACGGTAAAACTCAACTGTTTATCTCTAGGGGAGTTGGAAAATGAGCCTATTTTCAAAAATAGTGGAGTGTTCCTTTAAGCATATCCTAATTTACTTTTATATTTATGCACTTTATGCGCCCTCAGACCTTCCAACATGTAGATACATTTTTTCTTCATCAAAACTTGGAGAAATGCATCACTTGCTCACCAATGGATCCTCTGCAGTGAATGGGTGCCGTCAGAATGAGAGTCCAAACACAATAATAAACATCACAATAATCCACAAGTAATCCACACCACTCCAGTCCATCAGTTAACATCTGGAGAAGTGAAAAGCTGCGTGTTTCAAAGAAACAAATCCACCTTTAAGACGTTTTTAACTTTAAACCATTGTTTCTGGCTAAAACATGAGTACTCTATACATAATATTCTTTCCCCCAGTGAAAAACTCATCATGAGAGAAATCTGCACAGATCAAGCACTGTTTACAAGCTAACACAGTTCTAAACAAATATTTGGGTGGATTTTGATGTGAGAGACAACAGGAGATGGACTTTTTCCCTGGAGGAAACGTTATTATGGATTATGGACTCGTATTTTAGCCAGAAGCAACGGTTTAAATTTAAAACTCCTTAATGATGAATTTGTTTCTTACAAACACGCAGCTTTTCGCTTCACAAGACATTAACTGATGGACTGGAGTGGTGTGGATTACTTGTGGATTATTGTGATGTTTTTATCAGCTGTTTGGACTCTCATTTTGACGGCACCCATTCACTGCAGAGCATCCATTGATGTAATGGTACATTTCTCCAAATCTGTTCTGATTAAGAAACAAACTCATCTACATATCGGACAGCCTGAGGGTGAATGCAATTTTCAGCAAATTTCCATTTTTGGAGGAACTATTCCTTTAAATGGCATGCATTCCCTATGAATCCTGGCATTGCAAGTGCCTTGCGCTACTGTTTGTTTTTGCTAATTCGTCATGTGAGGAGGAAATTGCATTTAACAAAAAAAAAATGAAAGAAAGGCAAATGGATTTGACTCCTTTCAAAAACGAATAATAGTGAGGGCGTTACGCATGTGTATCAGTGACAAAACAGGATATATATATATATATATGTCCACAATGAGTGATTATGACATGACAGCACAAACAACATCATTCTAATAGACTGATCATTATAGCACTGGAAAAACAAGAGTTTCATCCATCAGTCAATGTGCTGCGAACAAAGCCACTGCAAGTGTGAACAGACTGCTTGTATGTGTATGTGTGTGTGTGTGTGTGTCTGTGTGTGTGTGTTTCTCCCAGGAGGCTCACCACCACACTTTTCACACTGCCACCCCCGCAGCCAAAGATGCTCAGAGCTGCGGTGGTTTTTCTGTCTAACTACCACCAGGCAACAAACCTTTACTGTACATGCTAATAAAAGGACGACTTCCAAACCAAATGAATACATACTTAAGAGATTTTAGAGACTGCTCTTATCCAAACTCTTAATTTCACAAGAAATCTGAATCATTGTAGAGATCGTCTATAAAAAACAAGCAGATGGACCACCCAGAATCACTGAAAGGGAAACTAAACTGACTATATGTCACCTGCATCAAACCAGCACACGGACTATAATCACTGATTATATTTAATATATTCTGACAGTCATATATCAATGAAATATCACAACTTTACGGACTGATTTGAATCAAAATTCTATCATATTGTGATTCACAGGGTTTGGATGATATTATATAGGCTACGTTATGGCTTCACATACGAAAATACATATATTATCAAAGTGCAAATTGGGCCCATTTTACCCTGAGAAGTCTCCGTAATCTGCAGTACAACAGAAAGGTTGTCAGATTAATCTGGAGAATCACAAGTTATAGTTTTAAAAGCTGATCTCTTACAAAAAGTACCACAGAGATACAGAACAATGATGGTATCAAGCCACAGTACGGAATGAATACAGTTTTTCTTCACCATGGTATTTATGGAGTTGCTTTAAAGAATAACATGATATTACCATAGTAAACATCCAAAAAAGCATGGCATTACATTTAAGTGGCAGTACCATGTAAAACTGATGGTATGCAATAGTCTATATTATATACAGTTCGATAGTAATATCATGGTACTGCCACGGTACACATCCAAGCTAAAAAGCATGGTAATACTTAAGTACTCCTTGTTAGATATATAGGAACACTGAATATCTATCTATCTACTGAAAGTACTGTGGTGATTCCTGCTACCATGGTACAGTAACATATCATGTAGCCTAGTAATACCATGCTACTGAATGTATACCACACATGTGCAAAAAAGCACAATATTTAAGTACTTTTGCTTGTAGCTTCTTAGCAATCTATTCCTAAAAATACTGTGGCAGTACATGTGACACTGATGGTGTCAGATACAATAGTAATACTATGGTACTGAATGATGATCATATTTATATACAGTACCATAGTAATGTAAAGAACATCATGTTATTACCATGGTACACATCCAAACAAAAAGCACTTTTTGTTAGTCTTTTTATCCATCCAAATATCTACCCTGAATCCTGAAAGTACTGTGGTGAAAACATGGTATTGAATTATTACCAACATGGTACTCCAAAGAATACCAGATGAGACTAGATAAGATTTTTCAAATATTACCATGAAACATGACATCTTAAAAATAAGGTATTACCATGGTACACGCCCAAATCATGGTAACATCACGATACTTTTTAATTAGTGTATGATGATGACAGAAATAGAGTAACTTTACCTTCTCCGTTAATAGTTCTTCGCCTTTGCGTCCATCATCATGAGGTTGGTGAATTCAGGCGCGCTTTCGGCTGAGCATCATTCGACCCGCTCTGCAGCACCGGGGCTTGTGATGATATGTTTGATCTGATGATTTGAGGAGTTTGATATAATTAAATGATCCTCCCTCCGTGTTCATCACATTCTGATTCACGCGCAACTTTCCCCACGCGCCACAAACTCTTTAATTGCAGGCTGAGAATAATATCTTAGCCAAATCAAAATAAAATGGTAACTTACGAATATTTGGTACTAAAATATAAAATCAAATAGAATGGATCAGATAAATCATTCTTTGCCGCGGTTATCAGCTACAATAAAATTAACTGAGAATTATAGATAAAAGAAAGGAACACGAACATGCAAACACTGAAATATGTTACTGAGCTCATAAATGAGACAGAAATCACCAGTGGAAGTGTTGAAGACACAGCCCACATGAGGCGCGCGCTGGAGCACTGCCTGCGTTTCACGTGATGTCCGCTGGATGTCGCCAGAGGAGAGAGAGAGAGAGAGAGAGAGAGAGAGAGAGAGAGAGAGCGAGAGAGAGAGAGCGCGCGAGAGAGAGAGCGAGAGAGAGAGAGCGCGCGAACGAGAACGAGCGTTAGATGATAGACAGGTCGTCAGACGACAGACAGTTATGCTAAAGATAACTAAAACATGTTATAACAATATAAAATGCTTGAAAAAGATTAGTATAATTTATTAACCCCATTCGGTCCACCGCAGGAACACGCTATCATATGCTCTAATGGACATTTTGACATCCATCGCTTCCAAATGTAAGGTAGGCTAATTAAAATCTCTGTCACATACCGTTATGGGTTTGCAGGGTTTGCAAATTAAATACAACAGGAAAGTTGTGTGAATAGTAGGCCTACCTGCTAAAGGTACACTGTAAAAAAGGATTGTGATTTTAACAGTAAACGACTGTAAAATGCTACAGTAAAAACCTGTTAACTGGTTAACAGTAAGTTTCCATACTATATTCGGTGAATAAATGTAATTACATTTAATGTGATTTCACAGTTAAATGCTGTTAAAAATACGTTTTTTGGAAGTGAAAAAGAAAAAGTCATTGTATAATTTACAGTGAAAAAACGTAAATTGACACTCCCAGAATTCCCTGGAAGGCCCTTCAAATTTGATGTTTTTTTTTGTTGAAATAACATGTCTCTTCTTAGTTTTTCTTATCAGTTGTGTACACTAGGGTTTAATCTTACATCTAATGTTGTTAAATTAATGTTTGTTGCATTATTTCAGTATCGTGTGTCACCATGATGGGGTTTAGTGTTTGTGTGAATGACACTGTGCACCTTCTATATATAAGTATTGCCCTCAGCTCATAGAAAAGCTGTTTTGTGATGAGCTTTGGTTCATCATGTGACTTTCTCATCACCACCACGTTTTTGGTGGTTATCAGTGCATTACAATGGTTCAAATCAGATATTAGTACTTCAATGTGTTGGTTTATTAACATTACATCAGTTAATGAAATACGGTATTTTATTGTGAATTTAAGTCAAGTCTGTAAAACCTAAAATGTTGCTACCATATTTTTTACGGTGAAGTTCTGGCAACCACAGCTGCCGGTATTTTACCGTAAATGTCACAGTTTTTTTTTTACAGTGTATGGTTCAACTTGTAGTCACATAAATTCACTACTTTTATGGTTCTTCAATGCCACAGACCCCCAAGATCATGCCTAAAATGCAGCTACATATCAGCTATAGATTTTCATGTATAAAAATCGAATTTATACTGTGAAAAATATGTATTATAAATGTGCAAAATATTATTTGTACAATACTTTATAGTTATAGTTATTTCTTCTACTCAATTTAGTACTATACTGTTATATGCATTGTTTATTTCTTTGTTAATCTATTTTTTATTAAGTAATTTTAATGAAAATATACAAATTAATAATAAAATAAACATTTATTTAATATGTATTCTAATATTTATTATTATTATTTTGTAATTAATCATTTATTTAAAGTTTTCATAATTTATTTAATCAAATTTTTATTAAGTAGCCTATTTAATGGTTGTTTTATTATGTGTTTATTTTAATCTTAATTTTATATTCATTTTTTCATTATTTACAGTGTTTCCTCTAAACTTTTCTATGGAATCCCAGCACTTTGGGCCGCCTGGGGGTTCCCGTGCCCCGATTTGAAAACCGCTTTTCTATGGTACATTTTATCCTTTTATGAGCTTGACAATAACCCAAGGTCGTCACTTTTGTTGAATGGAAAAGAGCAGTTTGGTGTTCCTACAGAAAAAAATAAAGTCAAATGAGACATAAGAGTAGGGTTGGGTATCGTTTGGGTTTTTTACGATACCTGTGCCAAATCGATACTTTTAAAATGATACCGGTAACTAAACGGTGCCTGAACTGATATGTAAAAAAAAAATAGCCGCAAAAGGTCGGTGGATGACATTAAAGAATGGCTTTTTTATTGAAAAAAAAAAATCTTAAAATTGCACAATATATTAAAAATTTTAAGTATACGAAAATATACAAATATAAGTAAATACAAAATACAACAAATTTATATAAATTCACAATAAAACCTAAGCCACGTAAGCCAACTATAATAATTTAACACTAAATAACAGTTACAGTACTAATAACAGCAAATTAGTCCGAATTATTGGCAGGAATG